TAGGATGGTGAATTAATGCAATTTACTACTGGTCTCAGACTTAAAGTTTCTTTGTGGGTTTTTCTTAAGCCATATAATTTTGGGGAAACACTTTTTGTGGGTTTTTAGTCTTTTACTGTGATTCTCATCTATGTGGCCTGCACTTTGTAACTTTTTGATAAAATTGTTTGCTCGATTTACTTGTGGGATCTGATTTTAGAATTTTATAAACTAAGTAATCCTCCAATAGCTTGTTAATTTCTGCTGCATATTCGTTTTTGTGCATTATAACAGTCGAGTTTTCCTTATCTGAGCGCATAACTGAAGAAGCCCTAAATGTCGGCGAATTTTTAATCTAGGAGTTTGATTTTTGTCGTAAACCTCACTTTTTTCATCAACTACTTCTAAACCAAGGACGCGAATATCTAAACCATATAAAGGAAAACTCAATGAAGCAAAAATTGATGGATTGATGCTGACACAATCAGAAAACACCTAGAAGAGCAATTAGAAGCAACCAATCTAGAATAAAACTCAAAAAATAAGAAGCAACTCAAAAAAGCCTTGAAAAAGCTCCGAAGTCTTCAGAAAAAACCAACAAACTAAACGAAGCACGGAAACAATCAGACCCAAAAACTAATAGAAAAATCCAGCGAAGAACTCATCGGGTTTGTTCAAACAAATAAATACTTGAAATAAAAATATTCCAAATTTGAAAAAGACATTGATAAAATAAAAAATAAAATGATCTTGAAGATACAGAATCTACAGAAGATGACAACGGAATTAACTTGAAACGCGGGAGCTCTGATATGCTTTTAGAAATGAACCGAATGAATCGAGCCCTCAAAGAGACAGACGAGGAGACAGATGAAACAAAGTTAGAACTGAAAATCCAAAAGGTAAACTAGTGAATGAGATTTCTAACCAAGATAACCAACTAGAACAAGAACAAGAAAACCTCAAGCAAACTAAAAAAATTTCAGAACAAAGTAATGGAAAAATGAAAAAGAATTCTGTATTAAACTTAGAGATGCAAAAATACGAAAAGAGCTTCAAAGAATTGCCACAAAAAGTCGAAAAACAAAAAGACGAAATGGGCTATTGGCGAACGCATCCAAATTGCGAAGTCCTTTTATACCAATCACCCAATTTAAATCCTAAAGCTTGCGAGAAAAAACCATAAGAAATTGTGGTAAACAAAAATAAAAAAAAGAAATAAAAATATTACGCAGAATCATTTTATATTTTTATTTTTATTTCCATTTTTTTATATAAAATAATTATTTAGCCTATTTAGGTTAGTAAATAAGATTTTTTCTAGTTGGTTTTAGTTGATAATTATTATTTAACCGATACATATATTTTTTAATTCTTAATGCCATTGCAACTGATGAACATTTTTTTTATGATCTAAAATAGGGGGAAGGTATGTAGTGTTTTGTTCTAACCAAATCGCAGCATGTAAGATGGGATTTATCAGATTACGATTTACATATTATATTTTAGAAGATATTTAATTCAGGTACCTCCAAACAAATGAAAGTCGAATATATTTCTTGTGAATAAACACTATTTGTTCATCATAAACTGTAAAATGCCCAACTATCCATGATGGTCATTCTTTGATGTACCTACATATTTTGCCGATATTTATTCGCGAGTTCCCAAATATAATTGAGTAGGCATTAGGAACATTTTAGAAGGGATGTACCGGGTGTTTTTTTATCTTTGATATCATTTTGATCACCTGTAACTTTTTTGTTTTTGAAGATATCAAGGTAAACAAAAAAACAAAATGTAGGGTTAGTAGCCAAGTTTTTTTTCAAGCTACACATAAAACAAAACACTATCAATTTTTTGACATGTAAGACTACATTATATTTTTTTAAATGGAACGCCCTGTATATTATATATGTGTTCGATAGAAAATCTTATTCTGATAACAATGATATAACACACTTCATATTTTGGTCCACTCGTTTTTGACAAATCGGCAAAAATATGAAACTTTTGTAAAAAAACTAAACTTATTATGCGGGGGCCTGATATTTGGGACGAGAATTATTGAGAGTTTATATGAAAATTTCATATATTTTTGCCGATTTGTCAAAAACGAGTGGACTAAAATATGAAGTGTGTTATATCATTGTGATCAGAATAAGATATTCTATCGAACACATATATAATATACAGGGTATTCCATTTAAAAAAATATAATGTAGGCTTGTATGTCAAAAAATTGATAGTGTTTGGTTTTATGTGTAACTTGAAAAAAAACTTGGCTACTAATCCTACATTCTGTTTTTTTGTTTACCTTGATATCTTCAAAAACAAAAAAGTTACAGGTGATCAAAATGATATCAAAGATAAAAAAAAAACACCCAGTACAAGTCGATTTGAAAAAGGTCGAGAAGAGGAGGAAGCAGTCATGAGTAGAGTCCGGATTTCAAGGCATTATGCTTTTTGTTAATATTAGAAGCAAATATAAGGCGTCTCAAAACATTTACGAGTTAGACAAAAACAATGTCGAAAATGCACTGTTTTTAATGCTTATTTTGCTTTTTTTCAAGTTTTATGCTTATTTTATGGTTTGTGCTTATTTACGGCTTTTTTTAGATTTTTTTGTACTGCAAAAGTATATTATATCGCACACGCACACTCTTATATCAACGCGAGATAAAATAAACAAACCTCCTGTCTCGCGAGTCTCGCCCGCTGTTTCTTTTTTTTTAAATCGATTATACACGGGAAACCCCAGCCCAAAAACCAATAGATAGTACTAGTTGCAGGTAGGAAGTACTGACTTAGGGCCAGTTTATTTCACCTTGTGATAAACTGTCAGGTATGCAATCTGACGGATGAAAACACATGCAATCTGTAATCTCATCGGTCGACCAGTTATCCGCTGACCAATACAATTATAGAACGGTAAATTTATCTTGCAGATAGTTACCAACAAGTTTATTTGTAGATGAATAAACTGGGCCTCAGAGTTACAAATGAACCAATATGTGGTTGCAAAATTTAAATACGCGCCCATAACAAGTGCTGACGTAGAAATAATTTTTTTCTACTACAAAAACATTTTAAGGCCGCAACGGCCCCCCCTTCAAATTATATTTTAGTTCTAAAAAAAAATTATAGATGGCGCCAAGATGAAAGCATTTTTACAGTGGAGCATTTTAAATATTATAGCGATTTCAATTTGCAGAATCAGTGCAACTTTTTTCACTCAGTTCGCACTGATTGGCTAATGCGATTATGGAGGGATTTGTATTTCCATGCCTGGCCTGGTATGACTGCAAATTTTGTTCTACTCTGTAAAAGTGATGTTTTGTTGTAGAGCTTGTTTTTGAGGTATGTTTAGTTGTGGTAGGTACCTATGAGATTTTCAGGAAGCAATTGGCACATGAATGGGTTTACAAATAGAGGAATACTCAGAGGAATGATAAAAAAATAGTCTTACCAGGAGTCTTACACAATTTCAGATATTGGTAAAAGATCCAAGAGCTAGTAAAAGAAATGCAAATCGCCAGATACCTAAATTGAATGCTCTACTGCATTGGTGGATATTATTATTGCACTAATATGCAAGAACACAAAGGAAAAACTCTAATTTTAGCACTTTCCACCTTTGGTAAATAAATTTTAATAATTATTATTAAAGCTTTTTATTTTTTCAAAGACATTTTGTCCTACAAAACACGATCCAATTTTTTTATGTATACCTAGGTACGTAAAATAGATACTTTATTTATATTCAATGGAAACTAATGGCACAGCATGCTTTGTGCCTATTATTTTATAAACCAATAATAAAAAACAAAACAAATATATAAGGTGAGAAAGAGGTTCTGTTGTCAATAGGCTTTTTTGAAAACGCTGAACAACCATCAGCTGCTGCTCCAACGGTTCGGGGTTTTCGAAAACGCCTAATTGTAACGTCACGAATTGACTGGTGGCGCCATCTTAGAAAAAAAGCCTGAACTATATTTGCCAAAATATCTGTAATTTTATTCCAAAATCGGTTTTAGACTACAAAAAAAAAACGGCACATCAGAATTTGCTGAAATTTGGCATAAACCTTCTTTGATCGATTATCTAGAGAATAGTGCTCTTATTTTTTCAATTTTTACCGTGGATTTTTCTATTTTTGGGAAATAGTTCATTTTCACAATATAGGCCAAAAAAAAATTCGAAATATGGAAAATCTAACTGCACTATTCTCTAGATAATCGATCAAGGAATGTTTATGCCAAATTTCAGCAAATTCTGATGTGCGGTTTTTTTTTGTAGTCTAAAACCGATTTCTGTATTTTGTATCGTGTGCATGGGAGCGATGTTGCCCCCTTAAGTGGCAAAAGACTAAACTTTACTATGGAACATTTGAATCAGCATTTAGTTATTGCTTGTTTCTACAAGAACTATTTTTTTTTTGTTGTTCATCAGAGACTTTGTTTTATTTATTTCAATGTTTAGTTACCTATTATATTTTTTATCATGTATTCTATAGATAAACAATAAATTTTTATTCCACTTTGTTTGCTTTTTTTGCTTTGTTCATGCATATTCCATGCTTTTTTTGTGAAAAATTACATGCTTTTTAAGCACTTTTTTTATGCTTTTTAATCCGGACTCTAGTCATGAGACAGCTTCGGTCATAGTCCTACCTTTTTGTAAGAATCTCTCCTCAGATAACTATCACTTGCAATAAAGAGTGTTTATATGGAAGCTATTGTTTTCATCACCAATTATTGGTCCAGAATTTTTTTTTAGAGTCGCACAATAGTAATCGATTTTGAATCAATCAATTTATTTTGTAAGCTTCTTAGCAGCAACCTCCTATAATTTGAAGGTCGTCTCTTATGGTATGAGAATAAAAGTAGGTAAATATCTAAAATATTGCAAATGTATTGAAAATGTGATAAAATACTGCGTCCTAAATGATAATGAGAGTTTGCGAATCGGCTATATGGAATGCTACTAGAAGCGTGCTATGAAAAGGCTTTCAAACTCACCCTAGCCCTTGAATCGATCCCTCCGTTTTCCGTCACGCCGTCTCGTATAAGAAATTCGTGATGGCGATATGCTAAGTCTGGATACTTTTTCCTCCGTGGCATGGCAGGCTCCTGTTTGGGGGCTGAAAGCAAATAAATGGCACAGGCTTCAGTAATTGCTATGTAAATTAATGTGAATATTATGACTTGGTCTAGAAAGTCGAGCCCTCTTATTAAAATTCTAATATTATTTCGTTTCTAATTCAATGAAATTATATTTTTGAAATTATTTATTCAATGCAATCACATGAACTTAAACGCACGGGCACAGACCAATCAGAAACCACCCTCAGTTTCCAGAGTTTTTCCGTGGTTGGCATTGGCCTAAACATTTTGTACTATTTAAGTTAATTGCCAGTCCGAAAAGTTCATGTGGTCACTCAATAAATGAAGTATTTTGATAAATTCATGCGGACATTCGTGCAATGCCAGTATTTCCCGAAGAGCTGCTCGATTGATAGTATCGAATGCTTTGACAAGGTCTATAAATGCCCTATACAGCAGAGGTTTGTCTTGCACTGAAGATCATGTCTGCCGTTCCTCGGATCCCGGTGAGGTCTAAGGCAAAGCCAGATTGTGTTTTGGGTAGGATTGCTCCTGCCAAAGAAAAGTCAAGAATATTTTCCGACCGTAGAGAGAATTGATACTTCTCAATAATTTCCACTCTGAGCCTTGTCGTCTTTCTTGAATATAATGACAATAAAAAGGTCTCGCAAATCTTTGGGAATTGTCTCGGTGTTCCATATTTTGGCGATTAACCTATGTGTATGTTCGACCAGCGCACGGCTCCCACCCCGAAAAGCTCAGCAGGGACTCCGTCTAACCTAAAAGATTTATTATTATTCAGTTGGTTGATAGGTGTTTCAACCCCTCTATGGCGAAGAACGTCACTCAGATGGTTTCTAAATAGAAACTGTATCTTCAAATAGATGAGTCCCATTTCTAAATCTGAGGGGATTGGGGGCTTGTCGGTTACTTCTGTGGAGCTGGAAGAAGATTGTAGTGTTGTTACAGGCAACTAATTTTTCCAATTCGCTTAAACTCGTTGTCCACCATTCTTTTTTCAGAATCTTTGTTCTTCTTAGTACTCCAGCCTTTGCTTGGAGAAAGGTTTATTTTTTCTGAGCTGAATTATTTAGGTTAGTAAATAAGATTTTTTCTAGTTGGTTTAAGTTGATAATTATTAGTTAACCGATACATATATTTTTTAATTCTTAATGCCATCGCAACTGATGAACATTTTTTTTATGATCTAAAATAGGGGGAAGGTATGTAGTGTTTTGTTCTAACCAAATCGCAGCATGTAAGATGGGATTTATCAGATTACGATTTACATATTATATTTTAGAAGATATTTAATTCAGGTACCTCCAAACAAATGAAAGTCGAATATATTGCTTGTGAATAAACACTATTTGTTCTCCATAAACTGTAAAATTCCCAACTATCCATGATGGTCATTCTTTGATGTACCTACATACTTTTTTCAGCATCTTTGTTCTTCTTAGTACTCCAGCCTTTGCTTGGAGAAAGGTTTATTTTTTATGAGCTGAATTTTTGCAGTTTCGCCAGATCTTGTGGGCATTCCTCTTCTGACCTATGACGTTCTTTTTCAACCTTATCAAAACAAGTCTTCAATACAGGGAGACTGTGATGATGTCCGTTGATCCTTGGCAGGCTGTCAGCAGAGCTATTTTGAGCATTGACTGACCAGTGCTGGCCGATATCGCCGAAATATTCAGCAGAAAATTGACTTGAGTCGCTCAATATTCAGTCATATTTATAGCTCTGAAAGTTTTCACTACACGTTGGACTCAGGCGCCCACCTTGCTTCGATGTTGGATGTGGCCACGTTGGGTCAGTAGAGTATTCCATTTGACCTATTTCTGCCTATAATGTCTTTCCAGAAGGCGAATTTTCTGCTGACTCGGGCATAGAAGTCTCCTGAGAAAAAGACTGTGTCTGATCGATGAATGATTGTAGAAATTCTTTCTAGATGGTTATGAAGTCCATGAGCAAGCGGACATTTCAAATGGCTTTGTGTGGCTTCAGTATTTTTACCGTATGTGGTGTACCTTCGGGACGCACTAATCAGTCAGTGAGTCGTTAGGCTGACTATGTTCAGGGCACCTTTTCAAGCCCCTTCCCAATGTGAATAAGCAGAGTGGATCCTAAATAGAGCTGCTCAGTCGCTGTTGCAGCACTTGACCTGCTCAATAGCCTCAAACAACTAAATAAATTTCCGAAACATATAAATGCTCACTCCAGCAGAACAAATTTTTGCCAGAATTCTCTAGAACTGCCTCCCTCTAGCCGAAGCAATTCTACCCGGAACACAGTCTGGCTTTAGACCTAAACCAAGGAACAGTAGATATGAGCTTTAGTATAATTTTTTTAATATAATATAAATGAAAGAAAAGTCGTTTACTAAATGACGACACGATCGCCCCTATCTTACCAAAAATGGACCTGGGAGAAGTGAAGCCTTTGAAATCAGAACCGGAGTGGGGCAAGGATGTGTCATTGCGCCAAGTTTATCCACTATACTTGTAGGAACCCTACTTCCCCTTGTCCAACAAAACCTGCCGTTGGGGAGTGAAATCGACTATAGACCTGATGGTAGGCTATTCAAGCTTAGCAGGCAGTCTCATCATAGACGACCACTCGATACCGAGTATGATTATCTTCTATTCTATTCTCATTGTCGTCAATTGTGCGTTTTCTGATGGCTATATAAACCAATTCTAGAGCCGCACACTCTTCTATATCACAGTCTTGGCACACCCAGTCTCTGGCAGCATTGTCTCTCCCTCTGTTCTCTCGCTCTTTCCTGCGGTCCTTCTTTTTGGTCTGGTGTCTGCGTCGCTGTTCTTGAAAAGTTTGTGGTCCGTTGTGGACTACTCGACGCCATGAGGGCCTATCATTTGCCGTCGTCTCCTAGTTGCTGGTATCGATACGGCACTTTGCCATATTTTCCTTTAGAAGAGATCTTTGCAGCATTTTTGTAGACCTCCTTGATTTCGTTTTTCCCCTTTCAGTTGACTGTAGAGAATCTATTCTGGAAGACGTATTTCGGGCATGCAGACGAGGTGACCTGTCCAGCAAAGTTGGTGCTTCATGATCAGGACTTCAATGCTAGTTGTTTTGGCCTCCTCTAAAACACTAATGTTCGTTCGTGCGTCTTGCCATTTAATCCGTAGGATTCTTCCCAGGCATCGTTGCTGGTATTTCTCTAGGCTTTTTATGTGTCTTCTGTAGGTCGCCCATGTTTCGCAGCCATATGTAGGTAAGTGTTGGTATTACAACTGCATTGTAGACGCGAAGTTTGGTCTCAGCGCTGATGTCGTGATTGTTGAAGACTCTCTCTAGAAGTTGTCCGAACGCCGCGTTAGCACACTTCAAGCGATGTTGGATTTCGGCGTCAATGGTTGCATTCGCTGACAGATGGCTTCCAAGGTATGGGTAATGTTCTACGTTCTGCAAAGAATGGTCATTTATAGTTATATTTGGGGCTTGGAGATTAGTATCCGGCGCGGGTTGGTGCAGAATCTGCGTCTTGTTAAAGTTAACCTCTGCTCAGCTGTACTCTAGGTCGATTCTCGTGTATGCCTAGATGAACGCATTGATGATTTCCTGAAGATCTTTCTCTGTATTGGCCAACACGACGTTATCATCTCCATATTGAAGTTCAATTAGGTATCGATGTCGTCGATACTTTGGTCTTGGCTCGTAATCTGTTCAGGTTGAATAAGCCATTATATCAAGTCTGTACAGGATTTCCACTCCTGACGGCAGGTGACTTTCGATAAGGTGAAGTATGGATCCGATAAATAGAGAAAATGAAGTAGGTGCAATAACACAGCCCTGTTTAACCCCTGTAGCTATTTGAAAAGACTCTCCATGTCCGTCGATGCTTAGGACGGTTGCATTCATATAATTTTGCGGACACCCAACCTTTGCCAATATCTTCCAAAGAGCTTCTCTGTTGACCGAATCAAATGCTTTCACCAAAACTATGAAAACCTTGTATAGAGGACGATTTTGTTTCCTGGATTTCTCTTGCATTTGTCTTGCACTGAAAATCATGTCAGCTGTACCTCGGTTTGGTCTAAAGCCACACTGTGTCTCTAGGAGATTCTCTTCGGCGGTTGGGATTAAGCGATTTGATAATACCCTGGCGAGTATCTTTCCCGCAAGAGAAAGTAGAGATATATCTCTGTAGTTTCCACATTGAGCGTTGTCTTCCTTTTGAAAAATGATAACTATAGAGGCATCTCTAATTTCGGCAGGTATGGTCTCAGTAATCCATATTTTACTTATTAGGATGTGGGTTTGGGCCCCTAGTGTGGGGCCTCCTTGTTTAAAGAATGAATGCCTTCAGTACCAGCTGACTTATTGTTTTTTAGTTGTCTGATTGTCGTTTCAACCTCCTCTAATCTAGGAGCCTCGCTGAGTTCTTGTTGTATTGGTTTCTATGGAATTTCATTGAACATGTCATCATTAATTTGTGATTTTCTGTTGAGTAGTTCCTGAAAGTGTTCCTTCCAATGAGCATGAATGAAGGAACTATTTTCAAGCAGTCGTGTGCCATCTTTGGATCGTAGGGGTCCTTGAGCGATTGGTTTGTATACCATCATAGTAGCAAAATAATAGCCTGGAAGAAGGCCCTGGTGCAGTTGGATTCAGCTAGTTGCTGCATTTCGTTTGATTTTGTTATCCACCATCGGTTCTTCAATGCTCGACTTTGCCTTTGAACTTCTGCTTTTGCTTGTTGGTATTGCCTTATTGCGGGAATTTTCCACTGCTCCTCAATGCTTTCCGGGTACTCTAGCCGAAGTTTCTGACTTAGAGAGGCTTGGAAGTTTGTCCTGATATAATCGTCTTGAAGGCGTTCTATGTTAAATTTGCGTTTCAACTGATTTTTTGACATCTACGCTTTGGTGAGATGCGAAAGTTCATTCTGGCACGAATCCGCCGATGGTCAGTCCAGCAATCATCAGCACTTGTTAGAGCTCTCGCTCTCATGATACAGACGTCATTCCGGTCTCTAGAACGTACAATTATATAATCGATCAGATGCCAG